GATATGTCCTCGAACAAAGCAGCAGCTTCGGAAAAGCCGCAGGTACCTCACCACAACACTTTTTGTGTTCAAAGACTTAGACGGGGGACCTGTTCGGCTTCTGTCATCGTTAGAACAACACATTTTGATCAATACATTGCACCCTTTTAGTGTTCAAGGCAGACATAGGCTGTATACTTAAGAGGCTTTAATTTCGTTATCCCAGACGACGATAAGCGAACTTCGGGAATGCATTTAGAACATCGATGCCTCCTCGACTTTCTAGATTAACAGAGTTGTGTTGCCTTAATCGTTAAGTTTCCGAAGTTGGCATTTTTACCTACATACGTCTTCGGGTGTGTGCAGAGGTCCACAGAAAGTCTGAACCGGTTTGTTTTTACTGTATGTCCGTGTATGCTGACTAGCTGGCTTGCTGAATGTCACTGATCCAACTCATCTGACCCTGCCCTTCTCGTAAACAGATTTACCTCTGCACACACTGCGGCGTCTTCCGGATGCGAATTTGGCGGTAAACCACCAAACAGCTTACTCAAGAGCTGTGAGAAAGTAAAGTTCTTTTCTATGGAGGATGGCCCCCTGAGGTCGGATTACTTCTGTTTTCGTTTTTTACGCTCATGCATATTCTCTCGTCTGCGCACGTAGTGCCGTCTCTGACGATGTTTGCCTGTCGCAGGGGATGTAGATGATCTGTTGGCGGCCGTTGTCGATCGCCGTCATTGTTTGTCACAAAAACTACAAGTCGTGTCGTCTTCGAGGCCTGAATCAAAGTAACAGGATAATGAAAAAGTAGATCGAACACTTCCGTTTATTTGCCATATCCTGGTTAATAGATGTTTTGGCAAATTTTGAATAATTCATATTGCCCTAACTGTGAAAACCTCGACGCCTCGTAAGCCTGGTAGTTATCTGGTGAATTTTAGGTGGATTACTTAGGAAGTGCTGATTGGTCAGTCAGATTACTGTATCAGATTTGATGAATTCCAGACGTTGCAGTAGGTTGAGCTGGTAACTTGACTCAAATGTAATTAAACTCACGTCTCCTGATGGGACATCGTAGTTAAGGTGGCTGGAGCATTGGTCGTACTAAAGCCTTCCCCTTGCTGTCGTGGGTTCGAATCCCATCGGGACGCCAAGTTTTTCACAGTTCAGTCAGTATCAGTCAGTATATTTGGAGTAAACGACAGAAGCCCTGAAAACTCCATTTAGCGGATACAGATATAAGGGAAAATAGTTAAATTGCAAAGCTTGTAGTTTTAGTAAGGAGAATTCATAAATCTAATAATGTAACATAAAGGCGAAAGGGGTATTATAATCGCGAAATAATTGCGAAAAACTTTGTTCACCGCTAGTATGAAATATTCTGGTTAGCTGAAAAAAACGAACGACAAGTGGTTCCTCCTGATCAGTCCTAACTTGGCTTTATTTCAGAAGTAGACTGGGTTGCCTTCGCTCTACATCTCTCTCTCTCTCCTCTCCAGGTCCTCGCCTTTATGGGCATCGGTGGGACTTCTACAGCCAAGGACATGGTTCAGTTAAACTTGGAGCCCGGCAAAGACTACTCCGCGGCCAAGACCCTATTCATCTCCGACTCAGACAAACGCAAACACTTTATGCTCACAGTGAAAATGTTCTACTCCAACGGCAAAGATTTGGGTCAGTTCAATTCCCGGCGCATCAAGGTGATCTCGAAACCGAGCAAAAAGAAGCAGTCCCTGAAGAACACAGATCGTAAGTCACTGCCGCATTGCGCACGTTTGAGATTCATCTTGCAACGAGGAGAGACAATCCGTTTGAAATAGTGCGGTATTCTTTCCCAACTGAATGCCTTTCTTGCGCGCAGTTTTCAGTTTGCTACTTTTGGATACTCGCTCCCACAGTGACGTTTTGCCTAAGTTAAGCAAAAGCCTGTGCTTCCTACCACAGTGCCTCAACTTCCTGCATGTCAACAGTAGAATTGGTTAAATTGATAGCAGTTGTATGCATGTGCTCCTGCGTTTGATTTCGGATGCGTATGGAGTACCCGGAGGGGGCGACAACTCCAGCAACATGAGAGTCCTTCCAAAGGCCAGGTTGAGTCCGGTTGACTATTCTCAATTGGCCTCACTGAGACAGTGTTTTCTCCTGTTTTTCCTTGAAATTGTAACAATTGCAGCAGTTTCGTCCCAGTAAACACTACTAAGGCGCATTCTGTTTTTCACTCGCATTCCGGCAAATTTTGAGCCTAAACGGTGTCAATCACTGAAATGAATCACCAGTCTCCGTGACACCCGGAGACGGAGGT